CACGTGAACAACAGACTGCGATCAACCGTAACATCAATTTCTGTTCAATACTTATCCCTACCCTCCGTTGCGTCGAAGATGTATGGCAATTATATTAACACGTGAACAACAAACAGACTGAGATCGTCCGTAACATCAATTTCTGTTCAATACTTATCCCTACCCTCCGTTGCATCGAAGATGTATGTCAACTACATTAAGACGTGAACAACCTACTGACTGAGATCATCCATAACACCAATGTCTGGTGAATGGTTATCCCTACCCTCCGTTGCATCGAAGATGTATGTCAACTACATTAATACGTGAACAACCTACAGATTGAGATCATCCGTAACACCAATGTCTGGTGAATGGTTATACCTACCCTCCGTTGCATCGAAGATGTACGGCTGTGCTCCCGTGTGCTTGGCCATTGCGAACACATCTCGGTAGAACCACTGGTTGCGTTGCGGATCGTTTTTGACGAACGCATTGCCCTGATTGGCCAATACCATGATAGTATGAGCAACTCAGCCAATACGATGCAACCCACATGGACTGTGGGCCAATCATTTCTGACGAAATGTAGAAATACGTAAATGGCAAAGCGTAGCCATATGTCATAGACTATAGCCATGGAATGAACTGTGAGCGAATCATTTTGACAAAACTTATAATACGTAAATGACAAAACGTAGCCGTACGTCATAGACTATAGTCATGGAATGAGCGGTATAAACAGACATCGTGAACATCCTATATTCTTAACATTGCGCATGGACTGTAGACGAATCATTCATGACAAAGCGTAGTAATACGTAAATAACAAAACGTAGTAATTGACAAAACGTAGTATACATGATAGACACGGGCTATGTATTGGAATGAATAAATACATACAAGGGCTCCAACAGCAATACGAGACCACAAGAGTTCACACCTGGTCACCCTTCCGCACAATGGCGTCGAGTTGTATCTCTCCTGTCGGTTGAGCCTCGGCTGAGCGTTTCGTCGCATCTCTCAGATGATTGGGGACCCAACCACGATTGACTAAGACCCATTCACTGATAGCATGGATATGCACTCTATAGTTAGAAGAC